CAATTCTTCATTTTCTCTTCAGAACTACAACCGTATGCACATATAATTTCCAGAGTTGTAAACATAACATGGAACAATTATGCTTTTTAAGAAACTTATTATTTTTCTAAAAATTTATAGTTACAGTCATTTTATTTATTAATTTTGATGGCTTCATATGATCACCTATTGTTTTACCATAATTGACTTAACTACTCCCAAATTGTCAGGTGTTTCATTTTTTTAACATTATTTAGACTATATATGTGATAAATATTGCTGCAATAAAAAAACCTTTTGTGTATAGCATTTTTTAAAACACAAATCTTTTTAAATTTTCTTTGAGATCTGTATTGCAATGGGTGGGACTACAACTCAGATGATATAACCGTTTTGATGCCTCGTGACACGTGAAATGACGCTTGAAAATTATGGAAACCATTCCCAATGCTGCCAAAGATGTCCCAGTGCACAGGATGCTCACATCCTCACCAACTCTGTTTTATAATTAATCATTCGTTCCTGTTTTAAATACTCTGATTTGTATTTTTTCAATTAGTGAGGCTATTTTTTGATGTTTCTCTGATCTCCTTTTGTGTGAATCACTTATTTATATTTTTTGCCCAATTATGCATTTCAGAAAAAGTGAGGCATTGTACTGAAAAAAGCTATTAACTCCTTTCCTAACATGTTACCTATGTTTCTCTGTTTTTTAAGTTTTCCTGTTAGCTTTATTTTGTCAGATTTCATTATACAGGAGTTTGAAATTTTATATGGCTGGATTTGTTTTATTGTAAACTCTTCTACTGTTTCAGTCATTAGAAAATATCAGTTGTGGGCTGGCCCCCTGGCTTAGCGGTTAAGTGCGCGTACTCTGCTACTGGAGACCCAGGTTTGGATCCCGGGCGCGCACTGATGCACCGCTTCTCTGGCCATGCTGAGGCCGCGTCCCACATACAGCAACTAGAAGGATGTGCAACTATGACATACAACTATCTACTGGGGCTTTGGGGAGCAAAAGGGGAAAAAAAAGGAGGAGGATTGGCAATAGATGTTAGCTCAGAGCCAGTCTTCCTCAGCAAAAAGAGGAGGATTGGTATGGATGTTAGCTCAGGGCTGATCTTCCACATACACAAAAAAAAAAAAAAGAAAGAAAAAAGAAAATGTCAGTTGTTGGGAAGTTTTATGACCAGTTGCTTTATTTTTGAAAAAAAACATGAACACTTCAATCCATCTTCAGCTTTTGTGCTAAAGAGTGGATCACATCACTTTCTCTTTATTAAGGCTGTCAATTTCAGCCACATGCTTCAAAGGGACCTTACCCAATAAAAGGCCACTCCCATCCTGGGGTGGCCTGCATTCCTTTATGCTAATTTTGATTTTTACTTAAAGTCTTTAGATTTTCTTTTAATATTTGCAAAAAAACCCCCACAAAAAACAAACAAAAAAAACATTCTGAGAACAAACACCGTATAAAACTAACAACAAAACAATTTATTTGTGGGTCAGATTTAGCCTAAGAGCTGTCAGATGGTATCCTTTGATCTACACAGCTTTATTGCTACTGGTGTCCCTTCGGTGATATGGATTTTCATGATGAATCAGCTAAAGCCTTTAAAGCTGACACATGATTTGCTGCTGTTCACACTGTCTCTAGCTGCTGGGAAAGCTCTGGAAGCCAATAGGGAAGGAGAGGGGACCAGTTCTGCTGCTCAGTCTAGCGACCTGAACCCTTTATCACGATGCCAACTTGTGTTAAAAAATATCCACACCTCTCCCTTTTCAAGGCATGCAAAATAGACAAAACACAGCAGCTGGATTCATGACCTACTCTACACCATAAGAGAGAGAATCAACAGCATAAGTGAAGAATGGAATTTGTAATTAAAAAAAAATTCCTGGAAGGTGTTTCTTTGAGAATGCCTCTAAAGCATGATAGACTTAGAGGATAAACCAATTGAGCTAAGGCCATATTTTTTCCTATGGTTCAAAAAAGAAGTGTCTAGTGGTTTGAGAATTGCAACATATGGTAGAGAGCAGACACAATCCATTAACACAGGATTCATAACAACATATTGTTACTGATCTCTACAACCTCAAAGCACATTGGTTGATGTTACCAGTTTAATCTAGATATTGTCACTTATTTTTCAAGATGAGATGAGGCTGAAGATTACTTAAGGCTGCCTTGCCTAACAAGTTTTGTGGGTTTTGTTTGCAATGCATAGAACCAAAGAGGTGGGGGCTGCTTGCTCCTTGACAAGCAATTCACCACTTTTGTGAAAATTTAGGCTTGATTTGATTACGTGAATAAGACCATCAGAAATAATTTGAGGTAGGTAAATATAGGAACCTATAAAAATAGGAGGCAGTGCAGTGAGGTGGAAAAAGCTCAGTGTTTGGGGCCAGAAAGCCTGGTTCAAGTCCTTGTTTTGCCACTTACCAGCTGGGAGACATTGGCAAAGATTCTAGATCTTTCTACAGCATCATCTGAAAAACTGAAATGATGGTACCCACCTCCCAGTGTTGTTATGATGATTAAATGATATAATAAATGTAACAGGACCTGGGATAGTTGTTCAATAAATGTTCAAAAAAACTTCTATTATCACCCCAAGTAGTTCGACAGAACTAGATTTGCTGGCAACCAGCAATTAACAGAACAATCAAAGCATTCTAGCTTGGAAGTAAATGTGATTTTTCTCCCCAAATATCCATACAGTCAGATCTTCCCAGTTGCTGAAGCTAGAAGCAGGCTCTCAGTTCCAGGTCACTGCCACAAAGCCTTGGGTAGCTACCCTAACTAGACTGAGCAATAAGCTTGTTAATTCCAGCCACTCCAGAAGCTGAAATATTTTTCCTCTTCTTGTTATATTTAACACGCACTCCAACATTTTTCAAGCCTTTGGTTATAATTTAAAAATGTCCATATTTTAATGTGCACATTGCAGAGTGTATAAATAATGTCTCTCTTTTAGAGGTCCTCTCAGCTACCATCACACGTGCTCACTTTCCTCAGGCAAAGTTTCCTCCACAAAGTCAAGGATACTGGGCTAGAATGAGAGTCTCTCTTTTAAATTTTCTCCAGTCAAGAACTCTGTTGTGCCCTCTGCAGATGAGGGGGAGGGGAGGACCTTGACATTGTTTCTGTTGTTTCCCTTCTGGATTAGGATTACACAAGTGTCCAGTTAACTTTAGAGTGGGTGCGGCTAAGTACTACTACGTAAGGGCTCAGAAGGAACCACTGGGCCCCCTGTCTCCCTTATACGTTGACCCAACAGAAGCAGAGGAAGGGGGAAGGGAAAGGAATTAAGAAAATGAACCCATTGTGCTGTAGGCGCTTTTCTCGTTTTATCTTTTTGAAACCTCAAAATAACCCTGGGATGGATCCTCATTTTAATTAGGAGGAATGACACAGAGAGGTTAAGTAACTTGCTCATGCTCACACAGCTAATGAGAAGTGACTGTGATAAAAGCTCAGTTGTAACTGAATCCAAACCCAGGTGTGTCTGAGTCTTTGAACTACATTACCCTGCAATGGGAGTATGATTCACAGCACTACTGGGTTGGGAGCATTTACTGATTATTAATACTTTTTTTAGGACTGTACGGGAATTAGAGAGACAGGGATTCCCATTCTTTATGGTTCCTATGTAGTCTATTAAATAAAAAGTGTGGCAGGGTGCCTTGGTAGATGGGTGCCCTGACAGTAATTAAATTTGTGGACTTATTTTTCCTTCACTTTTTTGGGTTGAGACTAGCTATCAGTTCTTCAAAATATAAGGATAATAATACTCCTTGAAATGGACCTTCCTTGTCTTGAGAAGAATCACCTGAGTTTTGTACCTGGGCTAAGTATGTGTAGGGAGAGTACATTTCATCGTCCTGGTGTTTTGAGAGCCTTAAGCACCTTCTATGGGGAGTGGTCCACCGGGAGAAACAGGGCTGGTGAGAAGTGGCAGATGCCAGGACCAGCCCTGACCCGGCTTTTTTGAAGACGGCTTGTTCTCTGAGAACTGACAGTAGTAAGAGGGACCTCAGAGGGCTGGTAACATCTAGGGTGCAGGCAGCAGTGTACTTATTGGTACACTGGCTCTCCCAAACAAACAAAACAAACACAACTCTAAGCTTTTGCCCTTTTGCATGATGTCCTAGTCCCTCCATCACCAATTTCAAGCTGGGGTGAAATCAACATGATGTCACTGAACACAGAGCTGGGGAGAGAGGCACACACATTGGCTCTCACCCTGTGTGAACAGGCTCCAACGTGCCCCCTGGCTGCAGGATTATTAGGGTGTGAAGGACTCCGGGCTGAACGTTACGTTAGAGAAAAGGCTTCCCCAGATGAGAGAGCTCTTAGCTTCCCTGCCAGGCCCCAGGTCTGATTTTCAAAACTAAGCTTAGCTGGTGCAGACAGCATTCACTTCTGCTGCAGAGAGGCGCTTGCCCATCTCTGCATCTTTTGAGTACCAGGAGCAATATCACTTCAGCATCCTGGGGAGAGTCCACTGCAGCCAGAATCTTCACTGCCTCTGCCTGTGGTAAGCATGACTCTGAACGTGTTCCATTCTCTCCAGCTGGGGTGGGGCTGAGTGTTGGAAGTGCGAGAGCTCTCTGGGAAGGTCCCTGCCCTGTTTGGCTGGAAGCCCCCTTCACGAACTTTATACTGAACTGGGCAGCCAGTCCTGCAAACCCACTGCCACTGAGGCTGAGAGTGGGGCTGGGCACCTAGTCCAGCCTTAGCATTTCTCACCGTGGGCCTGGGGCCAGTTTGTGTCCGGGAGCTGAAGCACGGAGACAGGAAGAGCCCGAATGGATTCCTAACCCTCAAGACACGCTCAGGGATTTCTGGGGAAGCATCACGGGGAGTGGACTGTGGCCTGGGAAAGGGAAAGATGGGCTTCTGTTGCCCAGAGAGAGGTGACTGAAAGTTGCTCAGCTATGAGAAATAAATTCGTCCCTGTTGCTACAATAGGAAGTTGACAATCACCACAAGGAAATGAAGACAGTTCACCTAACACTTGATTTGAATTGTACAATTTTCTCCCACATATAAAACCATGAGAGGTAAAGGCAAAGATGTATATTTCCTTATTTTTGAACTTTTAAAGTTCTTCTTGACTCTTTATAGTTTGGTCTCTGAATCTAAACAAAGAAAAAGACATTTATAAAAGCCATTTTTTCCCCCTACCACACTCCTTCGCCTTGTTCTTCCCCTCTCAAGTGCTACCTTGAATCACCGAGAGAAGAATAATTAATAACACAGAGCTGGTCATGAGGTTTGTGTTAGAAAATGTGGTTTTCCAAAGAGAAATACTTACCCAAGTAAGTCAGAGAGACAGTTGCCGGGCGTCTTGAGCTGATCTCGACAGAGAGAGAGAAGAAAGAAAAAAGTCGTTGTTGGGTGATGCTTGTTAAAAAAGGCTCACACAATGACCACCAAGCTCTTGTGGACCTCCAGGCCTCGGACCACGGCGCTGAACTCCTCGAAGGATATTCTCCCGTCGCCGTCCGTGTCCAGGAGGATGATGGTTTTGTCGACGAGCTGCTGTAACTCCCAGTCCGTCAGGCTGTCCCCCACGATCACCTTCAGCACCCGAAAGACTCCCCGTTGGAAACGTAGCCGTCCTTATCCATGTCGTAGATGCTGAAGGCGAACCTCAGCTTCTGCTCCTCGTCGCCCTTCACGCTGAGGTGGGACGTCCCCACGATGAACTCCTTGAAGTCCACCTCGCCGTTGCCGTCGGTGTCGAGGCCGTCAATCACTCGCCGCGCCAGCGGATCGCGCCGCGGCCCGGGCAGGGCCAGGAGCTCCTCCACGCTCAGAGCGCCCGAGCCGTCCAAGTCCAGCTGCTGGAGCCGCCTGCTCAGCCTTTTAATCTCATCGTGGTTCAAGTGGGAGCACATCGCCGCCGGGTAACCGGCCTCCTTTCCCATCGTGGACGCCGCGGGCGGAGGAGGGAGCAGGGGCGGTGGGCGCGGACGGGGCTCGCGCGGGGACCCTTGCGCCGCGAGGGGGGCGGGGCGCCGGGCGGGGCGGGCTCGTGGGACCCCCACGACCAGACCAGAAAATAGGCGGCGCTGGAGCGAGGCGGGGGAGCAGGAGGGGAGACAGGCGGGAAAGGGGGCTCGCAGCAGGGAGAAGATGGGGAGATGGGGAGGAGAGAGCGGGGCTGGAGGGGTGCCCAGCAGAGCCAGAGGCTGAGAGCAGGGCTACCCCCTCTCTTCCTTCTGTCAGCCCCTTGTAGGTTTTCATTAGAACCCCTATCCCCGCTGCTGTTATTTAGGTTCTCACTTCCTCACCTTCCTTTTTCTCCTTAGACAGTAAACACAAGGGCGAAGGGGCCGCATCTATATTACTCACCAGAGTACCCAGCACAGGGCCTGACATATGGTATGTGCTTAATAAATGTATGTTGAATGACTGAGGGAAGGGCAATCAAGGGCTCTTTACGCCCACTGTGCGGGCCTAGTGTAAGGACGAAATGAGGTAATACACCAATGCCCCGCTGTTATGTCTATTTCCTAAATTCTCTGGGAGGGAAGCCAGGATTGACATCCTTCTGGTATGGTGGTCGCTGACCTTTTGCAGGACATGGGTCTCAGGGTCTTTGTAAGAGATCACACAGAATTTCTCACAGGGATCACCTACAGACAGTACCATATTCCTGAGGAATACACACAATGCTGAATTCGGGCATTTTTCAGGAAAACACAGGTCCCAAAAAGATAGCCTCTGTCACCCTATTACTTCGAGTCCATCATCACATGCCCAGTGCATCTCTTTGTTGGACTGGACCCTGGTCGCTGACCTGCAGACCACTTTGGGGAGTGGCTGTGATGTGTCCAGAGAAGCCATTTGCCTGTTTTGAGAGCAGCGGTGGCCCCTAGGCTGTGTCACCCGTTCCCCCTCTGCTTCAGCTGGATTTGTCCTTTTGGTTGAAGGTTAATCTCAGGCGCCCCCTCACATGCCTTCTTCCTTTAGGAGCACGTCAGTTACTCCACACGCATAAGGAATAAATTTGCTTCAGAGCTATGTAGTTCAGGGGTCTTAGGGGACCCCAGGCCACCACATCAAACTGGAGGAGGCAAACACCCCCTCATTTAAAAAATGTCAGCACCTCCTCTGTGCTTTAGTTTGGCCAAACTATCAGTCTAAAGGTAACCAAGCTGAAACCGGCACAATGAAGCCACGGGATACCCTACCACTCATCGAGACAGTTTAAGGGAAAAGAAAAGATTTGGAGGTTAAAATATTTGATGACTGAATTATTAGCCCGACTGACCGAATTAACTATATCTGAAAGAAGCATTATAGGGTAGAAAGAGTTTAAAAAAGGACAACCCAGCATCAAATCTTAACTGTAAGGCCTTGAACAAGTGGTTTAACATCAGTTTTTCCATCTGTAAAATGGGGCTAATATTTTGTACAGTTGTATGAGAATTAAAGCTGATATTAGCCAATATGATAAATCATGATCATTATTGTCATTATTACTAATTTTATTACTATTTACCCTGCTTTAAGTATTCTTAAAGAAATAACAGTTGGCGGTCTGGGCCCCTAAGTGTATGCATGTCCCTTTAATGAACATTCCTCATACACCATTTCCAGGATGCTGCTCGCTGCTCAGAGCACTTTACCAGCATTGACTTCAGCTCCTCCAATTCAGCCCCCTTCGGGGACTGACTGCAGACTTTGCATTACAGGCTTGAGGAAGGCAGTGACCGACCTCACTGGCCCACCGGGCATTCTTATGGACTTTTTCACTGACTTTCTCCTGAGTAACGCCTTGATGGTCGTCATTTAGAAAGGAGTCAGCAGTGTAGAAACTCTTAGTAAGTGTATTCCCCTCTGTGGGTGTGTTATTAGGAGGTAGTGAGGGGTAGTGGAGAGACCAGGTTCTGGTCCCTGCTCTGGCCTTATCAGCTGTGAGACCTTAGAGGAGCCGCTACTGTCCCAGCCTCAGTGTCCACATCTGTAAAAGGTGATAATCATTACATCTGCTTTATCTACTGCACGTGGTTATTGTAAGAATGAGATGAGGGAGTGCATATAGAAAAGTTATGTAAGAGGAGAAATATTTTCCCAACAGTTAACCAATTTAATGGTTGAGCAGGCAGTACTGGGAAGATAGTATCACTTCATTGAAATAATTCAGTGTGCACCAGAATTGCTTTACTCCTGCCTCATAGAGGATGTACTGTTATGCTGCATCCGAAGTTTTAGTCAATGTGAAGGTGAGTTCCCCACTGTTCCACATGTCATAAACTTTATAGTTTTAGCATTAGGATGGGACTCAATGTCATTGTTGCGATTTTCTCCGGCCATTATTCTTAGTGAATTCCATGGAAAACGCTATTTGTTACTCTTTCCGTTTATCACTGTGGAGGGACCTGGACAGTTGAACATTCACTGCAGGAAGTAAATGACAAGGGCTGACTGATTGTTTTGGAAGAAATCAGGAGCCTGATGGCACTTCCATTTCAATAAGCCATCTTTTTGTCCTCAGGAGTTTTCATATGAAGACCTATGAGATGGTCACGTGCAAAAATAACTAACATTGGAAAATAAAACTGACAGAAATGGAGGTGATGAGACCCGAGGCTCATACAAAGCTTCATCTTCCACCTTGGTCAGGAGAACGGCTTTCTGAGTAATGTCACACAGTCATTCTGGGAGCTTCACTGGCAGCCTTGACCTTTGGCTGGAAGCCCTCACCTTTCTGTGATGTCACCAGTCACCATACTTAACTACTGTCTGTATTGAGATTAGCCTCTGTGTAGACTGTGGAACCACATAACCCTGGGATTAAACCCTTTTCTGATCATCAGATTCTCATCTACAAAGCAGGAATAATACAGCGGTGTCATATGTTATTGTGGGTTTAAGTGAGATAACACCTAAAATAATAATTTAAAAAAGCATCTAAAATAGCACGCCAGCACACAGTAGGTGCTCAATATGTGTTGTACCCTGTCTTCTTACTTTCCCCTTTTCTACTCCTTTACAGTCACTCGCCACATAACGACGTTTTGGTCAACAAGGGACCACATATACCGTGGTGGTCCCATAACATTAGTACCACAGAGCCTCGGTTTGTAGTAGGCTGTACCGTCTAGGTGTGTGTAAGTGCACTCTATGATGTTTGCATAGGGACAAAATTGTCTAAGGACGCATTTCTCAGAACATATCCCCGTCATTAAGTGATGCATGACTGTATCTGCTTTCTCTAAAGCAGAAATTTGACTCTGGCCATAAGTTGTTTTATTTTCCTTGGATGTGACAAACTTTGTTTCAAGTTTAAATCCATTTAACAAATTGAGCACCTACTATGTGCCAGGCCCTGCACCTGTGGTGAATAAGACACAGTCCCTTGAGAAATACACAGTTTTGCCCTCGAGAAATCTACAGTTTAATGAACAGTATGGCTTTAAGAGTGTAGCACTCTTCGGTCAGTTTTTCTTGTTTATCACGTGTATTCAGAAGGATCGAGAGTTATATGCTCCATTTCCTTTCATAATTCTGGGATGCTGTTTAATACGAGCTTTGGAGGGTATGGTTGTCGATCCTAGTTTTGCTTTTTAACAACTCTGAGATCTTGGGCAGAGTTACTTATCTGAGTCACTGCTCATCTGTAAAACAAGGACAATTGCTAACTCATGGCATCATTTTTCAAGATTAAATGAGATAGAACACATAAAGAATTAGACTCGATGCTTAGCACATAGTAGGTACAAAATGGTAGAAGTTATAATTATTGCCTGTTTCAGCCTTGCCTGGAAAATTCTAATAGACTGTTTGCACATACACACACGCAGATAATACTCAACTATTCGTTTGTTTTCTCCACAAGTATTCATCGAGCTTCCACTATATGAGAGGCATACAATGGTGACCTAAAGCAGATCCTTTCCCAGCTCTCTCTGTCCTCAGGGAGCTTAGTTTTGTGGGGAAGATGAACATTAACCAAATTATCGTGCCCATAAATGTAAAGGAGTACCTGTGGTGACTGTTACAGAGGAGAGGCAACACAACAGGAATTTGTGGTGCCAGGGAGCTCACATAATAGGAATAGTCAGAAAGGGGAACAAAACTGTTATTGGGGAAGTGATGATTGAGCTGAAATCTCAAGGAGGAGAAGTTAACTGGATGCTCTAGGCAGGGATGAGTGTTCCAGGAAGAAGGAACTCCATGTGCAAAGGCACTGGGGCCGGAGGAGCATATCAAGTAGGATGAACTTAAAGAAAGCCAGTGTGGCCGGAACAGGGAGGTTAAGAGAGAGCATGGGATTAGATGAAATGGAGACAGAGTCTGACCACGCCCTAGAAACTGAAGGAAGGTCAACGTTCATTCAATCATTTCTTACAGTGCATCGTTTATCCTATAAAAAAGCATTGAGGGCATTTGGAGATGGTCCCTACTCGGAAAGCTTACCAACTGCTGAGTGAATTGAGGCATTAGAGAGTTATAAATAATTATAACACAAGATGGAAAATGAAAGGTGTCATCAGAGAGATGTGGGCAAAGAGCTATAAGAATTCAGAGAATTGAGAAATTTGTTGAGAAAGTCCCAGAATTCTTGCTGGGAACAAATGGAGGAAGACTTTTTTGTGCAAGAAGTTTGATCCTGATGAAGACAAAGGAGACAAGTGCCATAATCACAGGAGTGGGAAAGGGAGGAGCTGTGGACATCAGCAACTAGTCTAATGTGGTTGAAGGCCTTGAGCAAAATATCAGGTGAGCTGGAAGGAACCAGATCAGGGAGAGTTTTGAATGTTTGGCTAAGGCATATTGTTTCTATATGACAGGGGAAGCACAGCAGAGTGACCGATCAGAATGTATTCTAAAGAGATTAATCTGGCAATGTGAAGGGTGAACTGAACAGGGGGTGAATGGAACTGGCAGCTGGGAGAGCAGCTAGCAAACAATGACAATGACACATGTTTGTGT